ATAAGGAAGTAAAACGGCTGGGAATGCAAGCGCATTCCAAAATAGGAGCAAAATGGGATAAAGGGGGCGAATGTACAATTAGGTTTTTACGGGTGTAAAAAAGGAAAGACGAAAATATAGAAAACTGTAAACATGAAAGAACGCAAACTGCATTATGATTCATAGGGTAAAAGGGGGAAAAGAAAAAAAAGTATAATTTTATACGAAGAGCATATTTTACGCTTCAAATATCTCTTCCTGCCTTAGCAAAAACACAAAACACTGATATTCGTTTCGAAATGTATCAACAGTAACTGATTAATGAATCAACTTAAGGCTGCATTTTTTGAAATGGGAACTGCCCTTCTTTTTATGTACTCAACCACTTGCAGGTAAAAAAGTGTTCCAACAAACAGTATGTGTTGCACACTAGGAAACGATTGAGCGAGCAAGCACCTGCCACATGATCTGCCTGTATAAGGCAGAATTGACCAGTGAGAAACTAATATTGCATCAGGGACATTAGTGGAGCTGGTATGCATCAAAGTCGCACAGGAACTGTCGCTAGAAGAGATGCCGCAATAGCTGTAGCGCAGCCGACAGTCACCGTGTCTTGTGTTTGATGTTTTGCGTTATCAGTTGAAGTATGGGAATACTGAGGACTGTGAGGAAGCCCTGTTATTGTGTGTCAACTTAAAGATGAATATTCGAAATGGAAACTGCCCTTCTTTTTATGCACTGAACCACTTGAAGTTGAAGAACTTTCAACAAAAAGTATGTGCTACACACTAGGAAATCAACAAGCAGGAATGATCTGAATTCTTTTTCAAAGTCCTTCGGCTGTACTAACAAGATCAATGTAATGTTGAAACTGGTCACTCTCAAGAATACAAACGCGTCTGTATGGCCGATATGTTACACCTTTTAAAACAAGTGAATTAAACTTCGAATCTTTTTCTACATCCGATTGCACGGGATACTGAAAATGTTCGAAGTCGACCGCACCCTGCAAAATCAAAACATAATGTAAAAAATTCAACAAAGCAAACACCGAAGCCCAGAAGTGGGGTAGCCTTCGTCCATTTCAATCACAAAAAGTGACAAAATAATTACCTGGAATAGAAGCTCTTCTTCCGGATTATCAAATACAACTTCAGCATCAGCGATGGCACTAGCCGCGATGCGCCTTTTCTGAGCTTTACTCAACTTCTTCTTTCCTTTTATACCAGCAGTTCCACTTGCTTCCTGATTGTTACTATCAGCAATTCGAATTTTCAAAAACAAAATGACATGTGAAAAGCGATATTGTGATCCCGATTTTTTCAAATCCTCCCTGCAAATCAAACTCAAACACTTCAAAATGACCAAAAAACCATAGAAAGCAGGAAGGATATTAAAAATTTTGTAATCCTCAAGCCCATTTACTGATTTATATTCATTCACGTATTTCAACACACAATTCACTTAATTCAAAGTGAAAAAATTTTCTACAAGATAATGAAAAAAAGTAATGAAAAAACTTGCCTTAATGAGCTAAAAGCAGGTGCGGCAATAGCCGAAGGGAAATGCAATAATCGTTCATTAATCAGCAGACCAACACGGCATCCCGATTTTTCTGATGACAAGCTATCCAATACGGATAAAATTTTCCTGTCAACAGCATATTTCTTTGCTCGCGTTTTCAACATTTCCCAAATATCTGTGTGAAACTTCTACAAAAAAAACACAGATGCAGCAGAATTTCGAAATACGCAAAAAAATTTACAGAAAACCTATGTTTACAGAAAATTTGTATTTAAAGTATCAAATGCTCACAAACTGTCAAAGTTAAAAATGAAAACTACTCCAGTACTCGTTTTCTAAAGCAACGGAGGCACTTGAGAAGCAATCAAGCAGAGGCACATGCTAATAGCAGTTGCCCCCTGGTAGGGCTGTCGATAGCTGCCTCTTTCGAGAGTTGTTTCGAAAAAAAAAATATAGCAGTGCGCACCAGACTAGCCGGTGCGATCATGCTTTTTGTGCAGTTCAGTCCTTCGAACGATTGCCTATTAATGATTTTCACAATTTTCTACTTTAGTCTATTCAGAAATAGTTCAAACATTGGAAAACAGTTAACAGTACATGAAAGCTGAATTCGAAGCCTTGAAGGGTGAATATCTTTCCGTGACTCCCGAGTTAATAGTTTA